TTGAGCTATCCAGTTGAACTCAAATATACCTTTGAGACCTTTCAAAAAATCGTCATGGATATTGAAAGTAGGCAAATGTCAAGAAGGGTTCAGAACCTCTGTGCTAAGCTGCAGGAGTGAGTATCGAGCTTCCCTTGTGGGAAAATATGTGAACTAGCTAAAACTGTCACATTGTTAGTTATGAGCCTTGGTAATCATCATAGATGATTACTTGTTGCTGTTGCAAGAGAAAACATTGTTATTCAGGTTTGCCAGGTTCAGATTTTGTGTGAAATCATCGTGGCCATGTTTCTTGGTTTTAAAATGGACCATGTGTTTCTTGGGATTTAAATGGCACTAGTTTTATAAAGGAGACTAGACTTTTGCCTTGTTAGATGCTGATGCATTTTATATGGTGGTTGGTGGTTGTTTGTGTCTGTAGGTAGTTGGGTGCGTGTGCGAGTAGGTGTGTGTGTGTGTGTGCGTGTGTGAGTAGGTGTATGTTTGTGCGTGTGCGAGTAGGGGTGGGTGTGTGTGTGTGTGTGTGTGTGTACGTGCGTGTCTGTGAGTCTGTGAGCAGGTTGTTGTGTGCGTGTGTGCTAAATGCATGCAGCCTAAATGCGCTACCACCATTAAATGAATGGAGTGCTGGACCCAACGTGAATCCAGCCTTATTGCCGCCAATTCTCACATCTGTTCTGAGGGATGAGGAACCTTTTGTTGGAGCTGTTTGTTGGGCTTTTGAAAGAGTATTTAATTTTATATTTACATTTTATTTTTATACATAAGTCTTATTTATTTTTATACAGTTTTTATATTTTATCTAAAGAATAGCCTACCTCACCTCAGAACCATTTTGAGCTGTGCTTTTGAAAAACTGGAGCTGTTTGTTGGGCTTTTGAAAAAGTATTTAATTTTATATTTACATTTTATTTTTATAGAGTTTTTATATTGTATTTAAAGAATAGCCTAGCTCACCTCAAAACCATTTGAAAAGGTTTGAATACCGTGATGTGAGAAATTTAATAAAAGAAATGTGAAAATTGAACTGTGTGTCTTTCCATAATTTCATCCAACTTGGAGGAAAGTAATTCAATTACTTGTGACAAGTTGACGCAATTTCATTAGTTTTTGTGAAAGTGAAAAAATACATTGTATTCATACAGCATATTACTTTGTAGTTCTGTAAGATTTTGGCTCAAGTCAGGGTGAAAAAATAAGTTAATGCAAAGCGTAAAAAAATAAAATTGCAAGTAGAAATTATGATTTCACTGTATTTGAAAACTTTCAATGGTTTTAATTAATTTTTTGAATTAACATTACTACATTATTTCCTTTGTTCAAACTAATTTTTTTAATTTGAGAAAAACTAAACTAACTTGCTGTAACAAGTTGAAATTATGAGTTCATTATATTTGAAAACTTTGATTGGTTTTAATTATTTTTTATTTGACATTACATTACACATTTGCTTTGTTCAAACTGATTTTTTTGATTTGAGAAAAACTAAAAAAATTAGGTGTAACAAGTTGACGCAATTTTTTTACTTTGATCCAAAGTAACACTTTTTACAGTGTTGCAATGTCAGAAAACTATCTGCAGCC